GGTTTCAGAAAAAAACTGTATGTTTCATCTGTGTGTCTGTGATTGGCTCAATCCTCCAAACATTTACATCTGTTTCCTGGGAGATTCACCTGATAAATCTCGTTCCATTTTTTCCATCCATCAAGCTGACACCTCGACATAAACGTAGGTTTATTTCTTCAAGGTTGGTGTCTGTCTTTAAAAGGCCACTCCTGGAAGAAAGCCGATGTCATCTCAGCAGATTCTATGCCTGAATCTAAATGCAGACTCCCGCACATCTCCAGCCCGGCCCATAAATCTTAGACTCATACTCCTCGTAAAGATAAAGAATGACATTAGTCTTCTTGTCTCACATTCAAAAAGAAGGTGAATGTGCACTTATCCAAGAATGTAGAACAATGGTTTTATTCTAAATTGTAACAGTATACTATAACAGTGCTGTGTAAAGTACTTTGGTTCATACAATTTGAAACACTATTTCAAAAGAACATTTTGTGTATCACATACCTGAACACATAGCGCTCAGAGTTCCAGAAAAACTATTGAGCTACTGCATTTCATATATTACATTTTGAACATTTGAGTCACAGTGAAGAAGCTTGGACTTTTCACAGACAAGACGTCGACCAGCTTTAGCTCCCCATTAGGCTTCTCAATTTTAATTTGAGATATTCAGGGGACAGTCAAATGCCTCAGTCCTCTAGGCTCTGTCGGAGTGGCGGCATTAAAGCCTGGTGTTTCCCATTTAAGAGCTTAAAAGGTTCCATTATGTAGAGGAGAAAAACACCTGAAGGTTAAACCCCTGAATCAGACACTCACACAAGCTCCCAAACGATTCTGTGTGACAAAAATATCACCTGGTGCTGCCTCTGGGCCCCCTCTGATGCTGACTCACCAAGTCTTTCATTGATCTGCATCACAGCCTAGTGTTCAATCTGCAAGTGTTACATTTCTTAATGAATCTTTATTTAGAGTTGAACAAGCAGGAAAAATAATACATGAGTGTCTTAGAAGCATTCTCAATCCGACTTGTTTTGTATAAATCTGAATTCTATTACAGCTAATGCTCATTTAAGAAGCCGCTTTAATAATTCTTGATAATGACTTACTGAAGCGTCTTTAGGGCCTCATAGTCTCTGCTCTGACACTCAGACAGATGTACGCACCACCTGGGGGATGATTATTCTGTCTTTACATTTCAGAGAAGATGTCTGTGTGACTGTTCCCCACATTATTTAAATGAGTTTCTAGATGATGAGAGTGCCCAATAACCACCAATTTGTCTATTTCACTATCTCCAGTGAAATTAATACCTCCATCCATGCCAGCTGCATTAATATCTACATTTGAGAAATATCCATGAACTACAATGTTTATTGATTGTCTTTTTGTTGATTGAATTCTTTTCCTTCCCACATTAATTATAGTTTTTGTCTTAGCTTTTCTTTGTCTGCCATGTTCATTTGTACATCTCCAAATTACAACTGAAACGTTGTAAAACCTTTGACACTGTAAAAAGAAAGGCCAATCGAATGCTCTACACTAATTTAAACTCATCCTTAATTCAAATTCATCAAACCCATAACAGCTGAAGATCAAGCCTTATTGATTATCATGCGTCTTGTGTGCCCTTCCACAGATCATTTACTCTGCCTGTCACTGGAGACAACACATGAATAGCAGGAGTGCAGGCAGGCTGAGAGAGAGATTAGCAATTAGCAAGAAGAGGTTAAATACGGGGTGCACGGCAGTTACGATTAATCCGAAACTAATTTGTAAAATGTCAGAGCGATGTTGAAGTTGACATAGCGTAAATGTCATCGAGCGTTCCTCTGTTTGGTTTCTCTGCAGTGAGGTATCTCTATAATGTTGTATGAGGAACATGAAAGTGTATTCAGCCTGCTTATTTTGAACAGGTAACCGTTTATATTCTTATGTTTATGATTTCAAGCACTGGGAATCTTCTCTTCAAGAAGAGACGCCTCTCTTCAATGTTTGGAATTTGGACTGCAGTACCAATTTTTACCGCTATGTGTCAGATTAACATATTGCACCTTTAAGGCTAGGGCGCTTCGGCTTAGTGTGTGTGTCCCCTCAACAGAGGCTACATTCCTCAAAAGCGAGCAGCCCGGGCTTGAATCCGACCTGTGCCTTGTTGTGGCATGTCATTGCCCACTCTCTCTCTCTTCCTGATTTCAGTGTATAAAAAACACCAAAATGCATCTTTAAAATTAAGTCACCTTAGAGTTGAAGAGAAATTCCCTCAAAACTACAAATGGGAACCTCATGCTGTTAAAAACTAAGGTGAAGCTAAAGTTATCATTAGAATGAATAAAGAATGAAATATCTGTAGGCCTACAGAAATCGTTAAAAAGGTTCATGTAATATTTTAATATATTGTTGTATTAAAGGCTTTATATGTGTTTTTTTACACTTAAATGTAATAGAAATCAAGTATATCCTCTGAAAATAACTCTGTGAGTAATGACTGTCTACAATGGGTGTAACACCCGAGTCCCACTGTCTGTGATGTTTTCAGAGTTTTCAGAGTCCTATCTTCACTTTGTTTACATCGCCTGGACGGCCGGCTGACTCCTCCCCTCATGTATAAAAGTTGTTTAATTGAGGGACTAGAGAAAAGAAGAATAACATACTGTACTCACTGCTTAACTGTGTTTCTAGATCACGCTCATTTCAGGTAAATTTACATGCAGTGTGAAGATACGAGCATAATAAAGATAACTAGCATTAGCATGCTAACACAACAATGCAGCGCGAGTTGTTTTGGTTTCATGTTGGTGCTCAAGGGCGACATCTGCTGGATCAAAAAGTCGCATATAAAGCCTTTAAGAACTGATCAACCAATATTGCAGAAAGTACAAAGCCTACATGTACAAACTCAGGAACTGTGGTAATATGTGATAGGAAAGGCGGTTGATAAACTTTTAGCGAGCATGTAACACTTCCAGTTATTTGAAAGAAGCATTCCCAGTGAAAACACAATCTGCTGGTTCTGTAGTGACATCACATTAACTTTGTCCTCCCGCTCTCTCTGGTCTCCTACAGCCATGCCCTTCATCATCTCCATGCTGCTGGCCAGCCTCAACAGCTGCTGTAACCCCTGGATCTACATGTGCTTCGCCGGGCATCTGTTCCACGACCTGCGGCAGAACTTTCTGTGCTGCTCCTCTCGATACCTCAAGTCCTCCCAGTGTCACTGTGAGCGTGACTTTGACTCCAGTCACAAGAGCATCTCCTCCACCTTTGTCATAAAGAGCACGAGCAGTCAGAGGAGCATCACACAGACTTCCAGCACATAAGGACCCCCTCCTCTTTTGCTTTTATTTAACCCCTTCTAGTCTGCCTTTCACAACGTGCTGTCACCCAAAAAAAAAAAAACAAGCAGTTCAACTCCCGTTGAAAGCTCTTCAGCTCAGGGGGAAGAAAAGCAAATGGCTTATTTCTCTCCATTCCATGTCTTTGCAATGTAAAGTTATAATTTAAGTGTAAATAGAAACATGTACAGCTATTATAAAGGATGTGATATTTTGTTCATAAAAAAATATGCGGCGATAATCATTTACCAGGCTGAGCAATGAACTGAATACTTCTGTTGTCTTTGTTTTTAGATTGAAGTATATATGTTAACTTTATGGAAAAGAGAATATTTGAATGATTTGGCCAGCCACACTATTGATTTAGTTAATGTCACCTGTAGAGGCTAAAACTGGTGTTAGTCCGTGTTATGAATAATCTGTAAAATGATATTAACTTTGTTACATTTGGATTGCACATGTAAACTGTTACTTGAGCTATTGTAATATGTGATACGTCATGGCTGTCAGCACTAATTGTTTTAAAAGGAAAAGTCAAGAAAAGAAGAAAAAAAAGGGGAAAAAAAGGAAAATAAATAAGAATGAAAGCAGCAAAACAAATGCCCTGACAACTCTATTGTACCTCTATTATGTTCACCTTTAGCTGATGCTCATTAGAGCTCTCTTTGTGGGGATGGTTGAAGAAAAAACTTGGCACGCTTGCTGGGAATGTCCTACAGGGATGTTTGTCCACCCTGAATCAATAACGTCACTGAGTTCCTGCAAAGTTTTGGCAGCACTTTAACACTTCCAACATCCTGTTCACCTCAGCCCCAAAATGAAATCTGAACACTGCAGAGACTCCTAAATGTCCTCAAGTAATTTGTGTATTTGAAGGTTTCTTGAGCCAACATTTGTTTCGTGAGTTGGTGCAGTATCCTTCAGGAAGTGACATCAAAGGTAAATATTGCCCAGGAATTCACCCATGTTTTCTTTGCTTCCAAGCTAATTAGTCTACTGTTTAGTCAGTCGAGTAAATATTTATTCAAACATCAAATATTTTGTTCTTTTTTCAAGTATGAGAGACATTTAAATAACAGTTACTTAATTACAGCACATACATTATCACTTCAAATGATTTGGAGGAGCATTAATGAAAAAAAGTCCTGGGTAATAACTAGAACCCGAACGATTTATCGGCCAGCCGATAATATCGGCCGATATTTGCATATATATCAATATCGGTATCGGCACCAAGAACTCCCTATTGGTCGGGCCCTAGTAATAATAACAATCAAATATATTATCTTTACAATGAAAACCACCTTATTAATGTTCAGTTTTAGTAATCACACCATTTGACAGATGTTGAATCTGTGTGTCTCTACTAATCTTATCTTGATATGTGGTTTCTCACTTACCTTACACTGTACATATAATGTCAACTACTGCCCACTTATACTACTACCTTCAAGCTTTATATAGTTTTATAGTTACTTATCATCTTCTGAATCACAAGAGTAGCTCATCATGTGCTTAAATGATAGTTTATTTGACAACTCTATTTCCAATTTTTACTGCATTTATTTAACTTGCTGTTGTCTTTTCTTCCCTCCTTACCCGCCTCTGCAGTGTCTCCCTCAAGTCACAGCCATGGAAAAGAAAGACACTGCTACATCTTTGAATGTCTTATTTTACTTTGGACCAAAAAAAAAATTCATTGTGACTAAAAATTGTAATCTTTGACAGCCCTACATAATACAAATACTTTTGACAGTCTCAACAAGTCTCTTTGTTTTACATTTTCATTTCTAATTTGCTGGGAAAAAAGCAACAAAAGTAATATACACATATATAATCCAAATAAAACAGTGAAGCAGAAACAGACCGGTATTAATTTCTCTACATTATAAGTAAGTTACATATATTTAATATACTTAAACGTATTACGTACTTGTAATGCAGACAAGATGATCCAATACACTCCTCATCAAACTCTGATAACACAAAGTTATTATCACAGTTGGTTCAAAACATGTTTCTTATCTTTTAATCTTCAAAAAGTCTACATCCTAATTATTTCTCTCTATTGGTTAACATTTTAAAAGTAACACATTTAGGATTTTAAAAGTCAATTCGATATAAAATTCAACAATATCACACGTAGCGACATACAGCATCAATGTGACTTCTTAGTGACTCATACAGGCAGCATTGCTACAGGTGCAGAAGTGTGGTGGAATCCATGTTGTTTGTTGTCAACCATGCGCAATCGCCTGAGCTTTTTGTGAAACGAATAAATGAGGGCAGACAGATCCTCCTCATGCCGGGCGGCTCTTTTCTCCTTCACTGAGGCGCCCTGAGGCCTCCAGGAGTGCCAGAGCTGTCACAGAAGCCTGCCGCCTGCTGCAGCTGTCACAGGGAATCTGGTGGAGCATGTTATGAGGGGAGGAGGAGGACGTATGAGGGAGTAAGCAAGATGCCAGGCCTGATCTTCTGGTGTATAAAAAAGGTACCACACTACATCCCATCACACCCACAAACACTAGGCTGAGTTTTTCTTAGACTTCTTTGCGCAGTGCCACGCGCACACTGCTGAAGATCTTGCCCAAGGCTTCGAAGAAGGGGTCGCAGAAGGTCTGGATGCAGAGAGAGTAGATGCGGCTGATGCACTGTGACTCGATCAGACAGCTCTTGATGCAGGGAACCACAGCCCAGATGTGGCAGAAGGAGATGCAGGCGAACAGGAAGCCCCAGAGCAGAGCAACAGGGATGCCGAAGACAGCAGACAGGATGCGGTAGCACCAGTATTTGGACACGGTGAAGGTGGTGTAGCTCAGCTTCCACACCCCGTCCAGACTGTGTGTGCCATCAGGTTCTGCAATGACATCCTCAAACTCCACCTGCGAGCAAATTCGTGAGAGGATTTCATTAAGATACATATTTGAGTGCACACTTCACCTCAGCCTGTGGCCCCTAAATATTATGCACAGGGGAAGTAGAGTGTGATGATATAAGTGTTAACACTCCAAATGTATTGCAGGGACGACAGAAAGAAATGTTGCACTTAATGGAATAAAACTTAATGTAGAGGCATACAGGTAAATTTGTAGCAGTGGAGCCATGGAGTGGCTTTAATGGCATTGCTAAATCTCTGTAAAAAGCTCATCTTCAGTACCCTTGATTTCATCACATGGAAAATACAGAAGAGGAAATACAAAATCTTTAATTATTTTTTATCTATTCATTCATTTATTTATTTATTTATTTTTGGACAGTCTCCCATTCTAGGAAAAGGACCGTGCTCTAAAATGTTAATTAACTTCTCTGTAATCACCGCCCCCCAGATGCACCGACCCATCTAAAACCTTTTTGTTTCTTTCCAGCCATCGGACAGGATCAGTACAGGAAGTGACGAGTGGCTGTCCGCCTCCTGTAGAGATAGCACCTGGAGAGAACATCCTCTGAATGAATGTGTGGACATGTTTTACGTTTTCTCTGTGAGGCCTGCTCTCTTTGTGCTCTTAGAGGGATTGCTTGAGACAGATTCAGCAGAAGAACAATCAGAGTGGAACAATAGAAGGAAACCTGTGTTATCTAACGCTGGTAAATTAGTGATCAGGAAAACTGTTCTAAAGATGGTACAGGTCATGTTAAAATATGGAATTAGCAATGACTTAAGGTATTAAAACTTGCAGTTTTATCACTCTAAGTAACTTCCTGATCAGACTCATTGAAGTTCTTCATGCAAACATGGAGGTATGTAAATCATGTATTCTACTTATCTCGTGATTCACACTCCTCAGGTATCAGGTTAATGTGACCTCTTTCCGGTCAAACAAACTGAATCTCAAAGTCTGTCCTTGCAGAAAATATTTTGTTGCTCCAACATGGCAACAATCAGGATAACATTGGTCACACTTAAATAAAACACGGTGGCAGAGTGTATCAATTTCACGAGCTTCTACCCGTTTCCCAAAATAAACTTCATCCTCTGCAACAGGAATAGAACTTGGACTATTTAAGGCTCTAGACAGTATAGTAACCTATTCCCATGTCTGGGTTCCCACTAACCACTTTGCTTATTTCTTTCCACAGGAACAGGGGCAATGAACCTTAAATCCTTCTGTGACAGGTGATGTGTCCATGCAGCACAAACCTTCACCACGTCCTCATTGATCTGCTTTGGGTCTCTGTTGATGAGATCGATCTCCTTGGTGTGGCTGTCTTTCACAATCTTCTCCTCATTGGTGTTGTACTGGTACTGATCCGCCATGGTGGGGGTGCAGGTCCTGGATCGCTCAGAGACGGCGAGAGTAAAAGCTTATAAACGGATCAAACGCCTTTTAGTTCACTTCAACCCCTGTATCACCACTTTGACGCTCCCTCTGGCATGCCAGTGGACAGCTGCTGCAGACGTCCTGGTAAAAATGGAGGCCTGACCCCCACCCTGCAAACACTACAACCCTCACACACACACACACACACACACACACACACACACACACACACACACAATGTACTGCACTGAGACAGAAAAGGCATGCCGTAAAGGAGAACCCAGGCTTGTGTCACATTTCACATAGGGTTGTGGGGCTAACTGGGCAGGGTTTGCACACTGGCACGAACTTCCACCAAAGAGTGGCAGGGAGCACAAACACACCCTCTCGCTCTGGATTTCTTTTAGACTCTGTTTTGTGTTCTAATACTAAACTTTTTGAAACTAAAACAACTTTTTTTGTTGTTGCTTTTACAGCCACACTGCACAACAGAGGAGACAAACGTGCTGTCACAGAAGTGTGAGTGAAACTGTAGGTCATGTGATATATCAATAACACAGTCCAACTAAGTAAGCTGCCACTATTATGTCAGTTAGAAACACTCTACTGACACCTTACAATTATGCTGTACTTAATACTGATTGTTTGGTTATTATTACAATCAAAAGAGTTAACACACTTACTCCATGCCATAAAAAGATTGGATTCATCAAAATGTTCAGTATACCAGGAATCCTCATCTGAATATAATGAAAAGGGGGAACCACGCCCACGTTTTTTTATGTCAAAACCCTTCACATAAATAAACCCAAGTCTTATTGATGGTTGTGGTAACTAAAACAACTTTGTGTCATAGAGTCAGTTCGACAGCTAACCATTGTTTGTTGATGCGCTTTTTGATTGCCCGGAGCTTTTTTTTGTTTCATTTGGGGGACATGCACAGGCTAAAGCTAGCGGTGTATAGCGGTCAAAAAACCTTTAACACAACAAACTAATTGAGGGTTAGAGAAAATGCAACTCATGCAATGCAATTACCTGGACTAAGAAGTAAAGAAAGTGAAAATATATGATCTGCCATTTCCTTTTAAACAAGGTGTTTCCTCCGGGTTACCCTTTATCACCTGTGAAATATGTTGATTTAGTCATTTAAATGTTTAAAATAGCAATCACAAAACGACAGATTTGAGACTTTTCTACCAGTAATTCCTGATTTTAGCTAAACCTAATCCATACAATTCAAACATCCCCATAAATAAAGCTCTGATTCAGCCTTCCCTAAGCTGAGCAGTTGTTGCTATCACTCATAGCTTTCTATAACAGCACATCGCATAAACAAACTCCAATATGAGGGGGAAGAGGAGGGTGTGCCAATGAAAACTTGCCAATGAAGGAGCAGCTACACCAGCTCTCTGTTGCTATTTATCTGAGTGAATCAGAAGGGGTGTAAGATCAGAACAGGAAGTGTGACTTTTGGAGTGAAGTCTGATGTTCCCCGCCCGGGTTCCCTGGTGGCAAGGACAAGGATGAGGAGTTTGGGGGGAATGGGATCAGAGTGCATATGATAGGGAGCCAACCCAATTAGAGTTGTATTCTTAGCAAGAGTGAAGGCCAGTTAGGCGCAGAGGGACAGAAATAGTTCAGCAAAGAGTCATAGTGGGCATACCTCCGCCTCTGTGCGTGTCAGTGCAATCAGCTGAGACTGCACCAGCCCCTGTCTAACATTTAGTGTAGACACGCTGGGTGCTCTGACCTATATTTAGACATATAGAGTGTAATGGTGGGAGTGGGTATCACTAACCCGGGTTAGTTCACAAATATTTGTCATGCTTCCTTTGGAATGAACAGTGTTTATCACTTATTCAAAATGTTTACATTAATTACAAAATGACATTTATCTCTAAAGAAAAGCGTGGGCAGGATTTCTTAATTCTTTAGATTCTTAAAGGTTTTTAGGCTGTTGCTCCATGATTCTGATCTTTATGCTAAGCTAGGCTAACCAGATGTTCAATGTGGCTTCATACTCTGATCATGATGATTCACTTCACAATGCAACAGCTTTATATGATGCTGCAATCCTTTATAGAATATTGAACAATAAACACTCAACAGTAATGTAATGCTATATTACAAGCAAATGTTTATTTATATTTATGTCAATATCAATGTAATTATGTTGGTTGGTATTTCTACAGTATGTACATTGAAATGATCGGCGAATAAGTATAAATCATTTATTTTTGCAGCTTTTATACACATTTTCTTTCTCTTTCTGTACATTTGTATGAATTAGTTTTGTACCAAATGTCCACACATGACAATCAACCAAAAAATAATCACTGACAATTATGGTGCAATATAAATAATCTATAAAGAATTCAAATGCAATCTGTTCCCACTCGCTTGTTCTCTCTTTGTGTTAACCAATTATCTCTACAGTGGGTTTTTCTATCTGTCTTCATGTCTTTCCAGATGGATGGTGATCCGGCCGCAGCACTTTCCAATACTGCTAAAGTAGGTGCTGATGAGAATGTTCAGTATGCTGCTCCACACCGTCCTGATCCAGTGCATGTTGATAAGAAGGAGCTGCACAAAGGGCATGATCAACCTGGAGACATACAGGGAAGTAGACAAAACAAGATTAAATGTCACTGATCCAAACAGAAATAGAAATCCTTCTTCACTCAGAATCATTTGGCACTTCTTCTCTGCCTGTAACAGTATAAAAAACAACAACATCTAACCAGATGTGGAGGCAGCTGAGCACAGCGAAGAGGAGCCCTGCAGCCAGTGAGAGCGGTACTGCCAGCAGGAGGGAGATGAAACAGTAGAACCACAACCTGGCCACTTCAAATAGGGCGTGACTCCACAGCCATACTTTATCAAAGCTCCGCACAGAGGGAGGCTCTGCAATCACATCCTCAAACGTGACCTCAAAACACACAAAAAGTGTAAGTGAGAGTCCCCTGTACAACTGAACACAGAGAACTCTGATAAATATTATAAGAGTGTGGGTGTACAAAATAATGAGAACGATGCACATATACTGCAACATACTGCAAAAAGCTCCTTTTTTTTAAAGCAAACAATGACATTTTGTTCCACCTTTTGAACTTGTATGGTGCGGACACCATATATGAAGGAGCAAAACAAGAGCTGTATGTATGATCATGTCCACTTGAGGTCAGTATTATGCAACATATTAGTTTTGCCACATTGGGCTTGATTTTTCATTAGAACAAAAACATGAATAAATCAGCCAGCATATTACAAAACAAGAAGCCAGAATAAGAAGTTTTATGTAAAAAAAATTTTTTCCTGAGATCATGAATCGTCTCTCTGCTTCACTCCAAGATTGCGTTACACAGGGTTCAATGGAGACAGAAGGAGAGGCGCAGTAGTATGCAGAGCGTGTTCAGCAGGTTTGTTCATTTAAATAATAATTTTCCTCAGTTTGCCCTGTGTCCCTGTGACAGTGCACATTAGTTACCTTGAGACTCTTGTTGATTCTCTTGGGATCCCTGTCTTGAATCAGAGCCTGGCTTGTGTCACTGTGGTTAGAATTCATCTCTTCAGACTGCACGTCCACTTTGACCTCCATCCCTTCCCCTGCTGGTCCTTTCTCTTTTAATCCTTGATCCTCGATACCTCAACTAATCTGAGTTTGCCCCAGCTCGGTTGGCTTCTGTGTTCATGTTTTTGGAAATGTAGAGGATGTGCAGGGTGTAGCAGGAGGATGGCTTACAGCGATAACTTCTGCAGGGTTTGTCTCTGACACCCAGGTGGAACATAGTGGAGAGCTGACCTCCTTGTCCCTGTTGAGAAATGCCTTTATTGGCTTTTAAAGGCATGTTGTCAGTGACACTTTCCATGTGACACACTACATGGAGAGTCTCATTAAGACCTGCACAAGAAATGCCCTGTCACCATTGTTAATGGCATTGTTAATAAAATCTACCTCCACTTCCTACTGAAGACGTTGTGTTGATCATTAGCACTCAGTATTTTGGCCTTGTCATTGTTATACAGAGCAGAGCTGACAGTGTTAGTCCATTAAGAGCAGACTTCACTGCTTCTTGCCAAGAGCTGTCCTTCCAAGCATCCCTCTGAGACGACTCGCTGCTGTATTCACTTCACTGTGTTGTGTCACACCCGAGTGTGACACAACACAGTGTGTTGTCTTTGCACAAATTGTGGTTTTCCAGGTACGTGCGTTAACTTACAGTTTACAGACTCTAGCTATATTCATACCTCTCTTGATTTCTTCCAGATCCCTGACGGAGAAAAAATGATTCATAATACTCTGAGTGCCTCTCAGTAGTTGTTGCAGCTGATGATGCCAAACTGTCAACATGCACCTAATGTTATTAAGTATAAATGTAGTGAAATACTGTTACAAGCTAATATAGCCATTTACAAGATGTTAAAATGGACCCTGGGTCAGGTTGTTCAAAAGTATAAATCTAGATAAGAATGATTCCAATTAGGAAATTCATAATTCTGCTCTAGGATCAGATAAATCAGTTTCCTTCTGTAGATTTAATCAACCTGATCCAGATACAGACTTTTAAAGATTACCAAACATGGATTACCACAGTTCTCAATAGGACATGGTACTACAGACTTAGACTTACTTTATATCTACACAGTCATAAAGGTCCTTGTAAGGTGGTATGGATGGAATGATTTATGTTTGATATTCACAAAAATATTTGGCAAATTATTTTATCAATGGTCAAGGGGTCGATGCAAACTTCTGAAGGTAAACTTAGGTGCCCTTTATCCTTCATGCTTTTTAACCCTGAAGTCTACTTTATCCACGATGGTAGATTCAGCAATTCACAAAAAATAAAAATAAAATAAAAAACTTTAGTATCAACACAATTGTAAAAAAGTTTTCTTTTAATACCTACTCAAAGGTTTCATTTACATTCCTGCTATCCATTATGTTTATGTGATCCAGCCTGAATATGGGGAAAGCAGAGCGTGACGATTATCCTCTCTGAGTTTTTTTTAGCATGAGCTATCCCTTTTACATACAACTATGTTGTAGAAATTGTGAATATTGAATTTAGGCAGTCAGTCAAATTTCAAAGAACCCTTATGACATGGGGCCCCTTATCAAGGGGTCCTCGTGATCTAGGAACCTGGATTCCTCTTTCTGCACCACCAATAAAAAAGGAGGTCCTGTTTTATCCGAGACATGTTACTACTGTTCATATTACAGAACATCTTTTCTTTCAACCTTTGCAGCAGCATCTGACTGTGTGATTACACACTGTGAATTTAATATGACTTGAGTTCAGATTGTGATGTTTATTTACACTTATCATTAACATTCCACAGACAGGCATCAATCTGAGTCCAATATCTGATTGAGACGTGATTCCCATTTTGAGGAAAGCATGACCAGACGTTTGGCAGGCAGCACGTATCTCACTGTTTGTTGTTAATTCCTAGAAGCCCCCATGTCAGTAACGTCCAAACAAAAGGAGGGATATACTGCTGCATAGCGCACTCTGTTGGCCACATTTTGTCGCTGTAGGGTTTAGAGAGAAAAAAAAAAATCACAATTTATCAATGATTTTTCCATCAGATAATTAAATCTTATAAACCCGTGTAGCTCACTTTCTTTACATGCTTGACAGAAGAATACCAGAGTGCTTGTTTACCAAATCCCAGCAGTACTGCAGGGGGAGAGTGGAGGCAGGGTCTGATTAGCTGATGATTAACAATGTGTGTGTGGTTACTATGGTGATGAATAGCACAGCATGTCCTGTTGTGTTAAATGTCTGAGGTCTGTAGATCGTCTGCTAAACAAACACACATTCGGTTAATCTGCAACAAATCCTGATTTAATCATTAAATAAAACATCATGAATTTACTACTATTAGTACTCATGCAGTTTGATTTACCACGGTGGAATGTGTTGTGTTACTCCTATTTACAGTATATCACAACATTTTTCACAGATTATATTACAGAGTCATCATTTCTAGCTGGATAGTCTGCAACTCAATCATAATTGTCTGGGTACGTCATAATTTATGTACATTTTTGAAGACATGTATCACTTTTTTTATGTGGGTCCTCAAACAAGTAGGTGGGGGCCCAAAGGAAATTGTTTGGGAAGTGCTGGCTTACTACAAATTTAACACATATAATCCGTCTCAATACAACCCATGACTGTAAGACTTTTTATTTTCTTACAAACTGCAGGAGACCTCAAAGTGTGCATGCTGACATGTTGGAGTGTTATGTGTGTGTTTGTTTTATGTGTTTATTAGGTCATTGAAATGTTGGATTGGATTTTGGAGTGGGAGCTCAGCTATTCAGCCTGAACAGATATAAATACTTATATACACTACAGTGATCTGTTGGAAGTATCTGGCTAAGATTGCTGCTCCTGCTGATTAGAACAGCTGTCGATGTTGTTGTTGTTGATCACGATATCTTAATTTAATTACTTGGAAATAAAAAATGCTCTGCCTCTGCACTGCCTGTCAGCACCTGTGTGCAATCAGACTTAAAGCTGTTCGTTTACACCTACTGACGTTGTGTCCACTTTTCCAGACCCTTGTTTGTGTTGACCTTATAGATGTTTGTCTGAATGTCATGTGATCAAAATTGATGCAAAAATCTTTTAGACATGTAACAAGAGGACATATGAGAGCCATCCAGTGAACTTATTGGTTATTTTTGTTGTTGTTTAGTTTGAGAAATGCTGCTCATACATCTATAGGTGATGCTTTGTTCTGGCTCTATTGTTGGATGGAAACGATGGTTCTTGAAATTCAAATCTCTGCAAACACATTTTTAACACTTTAAAATTTACCCTGCTGGTCTTAAAATGATTGGCTAGACATTGGCTTGTGCAGTATTAAACACACAACCCAAGGTTATGTAAGTTAATGACAGCTAAACAGCAAAATGGTGTTTATTAGCTTTGGCCACACTGTTCTTGGTTACTTGTATTTTCCTCTGTTTGTGAAAGACTAATACAAAGAGCAGAAGCCATAAAATAGCACTTTGTAACCACTCTCAGAACATTATCAAAGCCCTGTAATGATTATCGTTTTAGACTCCCCGTCCTCACTGGGTCCTTGTCTCACAGCCTTCCATATAAGCAGGGACTATTTTGTAATCAGCCTCTATTCACATGTTAAAGAGCTGCTGACTGAACTTGAAGGCTGTGTGTAATCAGTTTCCACATGGAAATCAGGCACAAGAGACAGTTATTGAAATCCAATTAGGATCTGAAGCTAAAGCATACATTCAATCCAAAGGTCCCTGTTACTATGTGAGTCACAGCTAACCTGATTTCCATGACAACATGGGTAGATGACTTTCACCATCTATCCTTTTACATTATCTGCTGCATGCATTGTACCTCACACTGCAGACATCCACGGTGTGAGTGCTCTGAAGGGATCATTTAATTATATGCAAGACCCACACAATGTGCTGCTTATCATCTTATGCCAAATGACCGCTGCTTTGCAACATTTACTCAATACTTGACAATACTTCACCAAAATAACATTTGAACACTCCATTTTGTATTTATGTTAAACATGATACAATGATCCCTAATGTTCATGTCATACAAATTAATAGTTTATTCTGAAAAACAATTAAACATTGAAATATCCATCTGCTCATGACCTTAGTATTGTAAAATTAGAGTCCAGTTTTCACACAAAAAAAAATCATAAACATCATTAAAATCTGGTCAGTTTTTAATATGAATATAAAATTTGCACAAGGGGACATTTAAAGTACAGCTACTTCAACATTTCCCTGTTAGAGTATAGTACACAGCACTTTGACCTTAAATCAGTAAGCCTACCTGTAAAAGTACAAAAAGGCACTGGGTATGTAAGCCAGTATTTTTAGGACAGATTCACATTTTTTAGGTTAACCATTAGTTTATGGTCTCATTCAAGCCTGTACATAATTGGCCCTAAGCTGTCGTAATTCTCAACTTAAATGACAACCATGCAAGATGGCTTACTTATAAGCTAATTCCATGAGCTCAAGAAAGTCCAAACAATTGAAAATACTTTAGGATTAAACTCAAAATGTTTGTGAATTAATAAAGGCTTTTTATTTTGAGCTTGCCACCCCATTACATACTTCAATATTCCTTAAGAAAGGGGATTGTGGCCAGAGTGGACTGGAGAGATGATTAATGGTACCAAAACTGTAAGTTAACACTACTTTCACCTAGTTACATGTACATTACACCATAATCATTTCAAGAATTAGACAGTATTTCTGTAAAAATGTTGTTTTAAAACAGACTTTACCTATCCAACAGAAATGAAATACCCTGAAGACTTTATGTTAGCACTGTCTATAGCTTATGGTGGTCAATGTCTATGCATGGTCTTCAGGTATTTGTCCAGGGATCTTCACCCCCTGGTCGGAAGTGTTTCTGGGACAGGAGTTGACAGAGTTTGATGTGGTTTCAGCTGTGCTGCTGGTTCTCTGTATGAATTGGAGGAAGTTCTCCTGTAGGGAACCCTCATGGCTGGAGGCCCCAAACTCTGACGGCTGGGTCAAGCAGCAGCGTCTGAATTTTACAAGTTCTTCCCTGATCTGCCTGTTCAGCAGGCCGTAGAAGAACGGGTTTACCGCAAAGGAAGAGTACGCCAGCCAGGTGACTGCCTCCTCTAAGTCCCCGGGACTGTGCATGGAGCCACTCAGGGACATCTGCAGGTGGAAGGTGAAGTAGGGCAGCCAACAAACCATGAACTGTCCCACGATGAACACTAAAGTGAGAGCTGCCTTTCCTCCACTGAAGGCCCTCTCTGGAGATAGTCTTTGGGGGAGAGTGCGATTGGTGGTAATCATGGTGGTCTGGCTGTGGATTGAATCCGAGCGATTCTTTTCAGGACTGGCATTTGCCCACGTTGGGACAGCAGGGACTTGCTGCTGGGCAGCAGAACGAGCTACTTTGTACACGGCACAGTAAACGGTGAAGATAACCACAGCAGGAACCAGGAAGCAGATCACACTGAAGAGCACAGCAAACACATTTCTTAGACGACTGTGACTTGCATGAAGAGAGCAATGAGCTGCAGCTATAGAGCTCTGAGGTCCGTAAGATGGCCATCCAAACAATGTGACCAAAGCAAGGATGAGGGATTTAACCCAGATTAGGAGCATCACACCAATGGCAAGGTTTATGGTCATCTTGACCTCATAGCGCATGGGGTGTACGATGTAGAAGTAACGCTCCACGCTGATGGCTGCAATGGTGAGTATGGACAGACAGATGAGGAAAACATTAAGGAATATGTAAACCTGACACTCGAGGACAGTAAAAACCACAGTGCCAAAGAATGGCGAGCTGGATATGATCCCCAAAGGCATAAGGAGGATTGCACATAGCAGGTCCACAGCACAAAGGTGGCACACAAAGGCAAACCTCTTCAGGTGAGGAGCTCGAGCAATCGCCACCATCACACCGGTGTTGGCCAGCAGAGCAATGAGGTTAAGGGTCACCATGCAGAACAACCCAAACAGGTCTTTGATCTGGGACTGGGAGCTGGTGACAATGCCCACATTGGCAGGAACTGTTGGATTGAGCTCCCATGGGGTGGTGGTGTGATTTGTCAATGAGTGGTTTGGCACAGAGGCTATCATGGGACCAGGCTTGTTGGCCATTATTAATTCAAAATGCCCCATATTTGTGTCTCAGATGTTTTCCGATGTGGATGCCCTGTGTTGAAGAAAAATAAAAAAGTTAAGTCGATGTAACCATCTATTAAACATACAAAGATTATTCCTTCTGTATATTCAGTAAATTATTACCTCGTCCCATAAAATATAAAGAAAGAGTTACATTTTCAAATACTCTGCGGGCTGATCATTTCATGTCATTGGGATTCATTTAAACACAATTAGATACATTCTGATTGCTAACATCTAATTAGACACATGTGAACACCTGCTTGTATGTTGTTTGTATATTATGTACACTTGTGTGTGTAAATGACAAACAGTTATAACTAGCTTTGTTTATGTCAAATCAATGTAATCCACCTTGAGGGTCATTCTGATCTGTTGTTAAAGAAAAGAGTTGTGAAGACAAACAGTAATAACACAGTAGTTTGAGCTGTTTGCTGACAGAAAGCCAAGTGAAGGTTAATTGACTCATTGTGGTCCATTAATACAAGAGAAAAGTAATGCAGTCATTTCTGACAGAGTGCAAAACACTGACAAGTAAAATGGCAGATATCTGATCCATATCTTAACACTCTGTTTACAGTCTTTATGCAGATTTATGTCTCAGAGTTTTACCACTTTACTTAAAACTTTGTTACATTGTGTTCAATGACTTATTTGTAAGGTTCAATAACAGATTTATTTTTCCCTTTCCAGAAAAGTATTTTCTAGGAACATTTACACACATAGCTGACATTCATCAATTCTGCAATGTGCAACTTTCTGCTTTTATATAGTAAATATGAGACTGGTTAAAGAAGAATCAATATATTCATATTCCATTATGAGGTTAAACATTTTCATTGATTTGGAGATGTTTAATTTCAAAATAAAAAATAAAACATATAAAAGAAACAACTTATAGTATATCATGCGTAAAAGTACTTACCCATGATCCACTCTGTTTGTGTTGTGCAGTACAGCAGACAGGTAAACCTGGTGTTTTACCTTACAAATCCAACTTTCAACCGGTCCTCCTAAAAGTGAAATATATGTTATCAAGTCTGGTTAACTCCAATGTCTGATATTTGGTTCTTCTGCAGAGAGGCGGTCCAGACGTGTCACAGATGTAAACCTCCAATCAAAGACGAGCTGATCAATGATTCCATGATGGTTTTAGATGTGCTGTTTCCTCTCTTTCCTCATCCCTCCTCCAGCAACACTCTCATTCCTGTCCTGCGCTGTGTATGGTAGTGACAGTCACACATTGTATTGTGTGTGATTGTGTTTTTTTGTTCTCGCTTTCAAATAGACACACACTCTACTGTCCCACATCTAGAGCTCAGTCTTTGCAGGGTCCTAATTCCCACCAGTTTAAAGGGGACTCTTATGTTTACCCTGATGCTGTCCACTCTGTCTTTACATAAGCAGTATTTGTTATGTAATCAGATGTAACATTACTTAAGACCTGGAGTGGCCACTGACAATAAGTTGTGGATAGGTCATCAGAAATATGAAATACACTAAGAAATATGAAATATACTAAGAAATATGAAATACACTAAGAAATATGAAATATACTAAGAAATATGAAAGCTATCTTGAATCAACTACATCAGAGTGTCCAATCAAATGCCAAAATATATTTTAGCATTATCTCCCATGCTTTTTACTTGACTATAACAATGTACTATAAAGACTTTCTCAGAACTAGAAACATGATGATTATGAACTATATGGTTCATATTGTAGAGGACTTTGACTCAGATACACATTTTTCAATGTATAGCTGTTGTCATCAAATGTAACCATCGCCTTGTTATGACCCAAACTATATCAGAAACAGATATAAAAAAGAATATAAGCAATAAGTAACAATTGCATCTTTAATAACTGCGTACAAATAGGGAAACATCTTTTCTGCACGTTACCCACTATTGAATCACTCGTATGTGAACTATTTGAACAATGTGCAGACACAAACATTCTTTTCTCTATTTACCAGAGTAGAGGTTTAATATTCCTGTTGCTAATAAATATTTTCCCAGATTTGAGAAATTCATTCTTAACTTTCTGGAGGACTTTCATTGTGAAGAAATTGTAAATCCTTACAGTTGCTAAAGATACACATTTTTAGTTTTAGCCTGTTTTCCTCATTTCTTCCCTCTTTCTCAAAGGGTGTCGGATTACTTTGTTTGCTCAAAGTAACAGTAGGTGAGAGCAATTAAAACATTAACATTTAATATGAATGTCTAATCTGCAATACAGGCTGTAAATCTAAAACAATTCAATCCATGTGTATTAGCATTTGTAATATGACAAGCTTTTCGTAAAAATAAGATATATTGCCTTTAATCAAATGGTATTAAACAATGATCATATTAAACAATGGATAACACACACAAACACACAGGTATGCAATTGGTCTTGACGTATGGTCTTGACACAGCCATAACTAAAAAAAAAAACATTGGAACAAGTGAGAGGGGCACTTTACTTTAATCAATTATTATCCATTCAAATATTATCATAGTGCAAAACTGCGCAGGTCATTACATGCCAAGGAAGTCTCTCATCACTGACACCATCTGGTGACATTTGTTACCTGCAGGACAAGTCATTGCACAGGCTTCTCATGGCTTACATGATACATTACTTTTGCTTTGCTGAATTACTCAAAAGTTTTTTTTTTTTTTTTTTTTTTACAGCTCAACAAACTAGCATCTTTTTTCACCAGTGTTCGAGCATCAAACACAAATTGCACTTATTCTTTCTGTAAACATATCTGTGCATAGATCATCATTTCCTTTTCTGACATTCAGTATTAATAAGCAAAGGTGCACTGGACTTTTTTCCTTTGTGAACTTTTCTTCTGAGAGACGTGTTTTTATAAGCGTGCCACTTGGATTAAAAAAAACAACATCTAGATGCTGATATATTTAAACCTGAATGCAGACGCAAAATACATATTAAAAAAAAAAAGCAGCAAGCAATGCAGGAAAAAAAGGTCGTAATCATCTAGAAGCATTTTCAAGACCAAGTAAGAAGTAAAAAGTCTTCATATTGCAGGAAAGACAAATAGAGTAATTCTTTGAAGTATTATTACTAAGTGCCGTCTGTCAGAGGCAGGCCGGTTTTAAAGTGTTCAAAAGATAAGGCACAGAGAAGTACAAGGCATTAATGCATAATGGTTGAAACATCAGTGCAATGTTATAATAAAGACCACAACCATGTTAGTATGAACATAGCTAAGCTTTTAAGGAAGCCGGTTATATCGAAGGAATCAATAAACTTCTTTCAAAGGGGTCTGCTTCTTTCCTCAAGCTGAATTAGCGCATGTTGAGCTCCAGCAGGTAGCGAAGGCGACACTGGCTCTCTTTGTAGATGAGATATTCACTGTTGCCGAAGTAGCTGTCTGAGAACTGGGGCTGATCTATGGGCTTTCCTTGAGGCACAGCAACTGTCTTATCATCCAATGTGATGAACACATCCATAGATGGATCTAAAAAAAAAAAGAGTTTAAAACTTTACCAAACAATAATTTGTATCTTTCTGAGCATTCCTCTAAGTTACAGTTTTGAAAAGTAATTGCTTCCAATTCTTTATACACATAGGCTTTAAACCGATGCATTAATAAGATTGAAGAAGTATTGTACCTGGTTCCACAGTTCCTCGTGCCACCACGCTGTCATAGCCCATGGGAGCCTTTTTCAGAGAACAGTTGTCTCTGGTGATGGTAGATTCTTTGCCGAGGGCTACCTCACTCAAAAACATGACTCCAGTGTTCTTAGAGCATCTCACTTCCAATAGAAAAAGGAAAATGTATATCGTTACAATTGAAACTAAAGTCACTATAATAATATTCCATCCTCTACTTGTCAATAGGCTCACCATAACCTGCTGACTTGCTGTTTTCTGATGCAAAATAGATACCGCTGCCAACACGTCCTCCTGAATGGGGCATTATCCTCAGACCGCTTTTAAGGATCGCCGCCACAACAGCTATGTTTGTGCCGTGCCACAGCAGACGGCGATTCTCCAGAGTATCGTGTTCCTCAAACCGCTCTCCCTAAAATGTGCATAATATGTGTAAGGCCACACGAGTTCTATGTTAAGATAGGATTTTCAAAACTGAAGGTCCTACCTCTTTTTCTCGATCGACTTCCCAGACGTTGATAATCTTTGGTTTGCAATAGCCATCTGAAGTCACTTTCAGGTATTTTTCTATGATCTGTGAATCCAAGAAAATAAAGGTATTATAGTTGTTCAAGAGGACAGTATGAATTGAAAATGATCTGAGATTGGTACCTTGTATGTTTCTGACTTCTTGTCCATCAGAGTGAGATCACATTTAAGAGAATTGTAGTCCTGGTCCAGAGGGTGAGGAACTGTCTCAATCTCTTCCTGAGCCTTTTCAGTCTCCGACTTCAGAGTCTGGGCTAGCTCGATGTCAGCCAACACCTTCACAGAGCGTGTTAAAAGAGGACGAGTTAAGAGCACTACTCACTACATGTTAAATATGCATAACATGTTGAAGAAAAGAAGTACCATGAGCATCTCTTTCTTCTTCCCCACAACCTCACTGTCGTTAATGGTCGGAGGTCTGTTGCGGCCAAAGTTGTGAGGAACAATGGTGAAGAACTTTGAGGAAAGTTCTTCCAGAACTTCGCTTTTGCTTTTTCGGTTCATTGCTGCTTCGATCTCCTCCAACACTTCAAAGCCCTTTGCAATCTGCAGCTTACTGAGCTTACCCAGAGGCATCTTCTTTATGTCTGTGTAATAGATACACACACACAAAAGCACAAATCAAGACCAGTCCAGTTATTGTACATTTGTTTCTGCTAAGAAAAGGCATTTCCCTCACTGCACCTGTGTCATTTTAAAGTGCAATTTACTTATAAATGTAAGAACTAACATATGGTAATGATCTGGTTAGAGAGGCTCTGGTGCTGATTGGATAAATTGTGTTGTGTGTTACTGCAGACTTCAGCCTTTGTTGTCTCTCCTCTTCACTACTTCTATGTTTCTAATCCAGAATGATAAATTACTATCAGCTCAACACAGTACAAAAATACTAAATAAAAGCTGCATCATTTTTATTTTTAAATGAGAAATAATGGAATTTAAAACATGTCTCATGAGACATCTTTTTTTCTTTTCTTTTTTTACATGAAATTGAGAAGTTTTCCTGTTTTGCCTATCGTCTATCTTCTATCTTCTAAAAATGATAAGTCTTCAAATCAGGTAATAGAAATATTTAATTACAAAAGTATCCTTCAAATGGTAACTATTTTCTATTTGTATTCTGAGATAAATATAAAAAACATTATGTGATCCTTCTTTTTCACTACTTTGTTCATCCATGTTTGCATCCCATTTGAAAGTTACATAAGCAGTGTATCAGCACACTAAACGTCATGGAAACTGCTTGAACCTGTTTGTATTGAAGAGTTGGTAAACTGAGACACACCTACCTAAGTTCATACACTCCATTGCCTCCTTGAACATGTCGTTGCTGAAAATGAGCTCAATGAGGCTCTTTGTAGCACTGTCAAGTATGCAGGGAAGGACATTTTTATTGACTTTGACAGGCTTTCCATCCACACTGTCAACCTGCAACACCAAAAAGAAGAGACTTTACTGACTCTAATAATGACTTTCAAAGGCAATTAAATATTGCTGAAGTCTGTTACGGATCATTCTAGCAGATTAGATAATCGTCTGGGTTTCTTATTCAGTGGTCCTTGTTCTAGTGACATTTGTACTTTGATGTTACCTTGACCTCAGCATCCTCTTCTCCATCCACTTCTATCAGGGTGTACTTCCCTTGGTGAGACACAAAATTAGACCGATCGCTCCAGTTGTTCTTTGTCTTATCCTTAAACTTTTTTTCAAAGTCCTTCACAGCATCCTCAGGATTAATAAACATGTTCAGTTTGCTTTGCCCAACTTCGCCCTGAATTCATATTTCAAGATGAAACACACAAACATGCACTTAAGAAACAGAAATGACCATCAAATTTGAATAAACATCAAAAGTAATGCTAATAACACCAACAACTAGGAATGTATTTTTCACCAACAAATATTCAGCAGAAATATCTTTGCACAGTATACAAATATAACCAGTATTAAGAAAATGAGACACACTTACCACTCTACCCCACCTGTTCCATGAATGGTATTTGTTTTGTGCTTTGACAATTTGAATGACATAAAACTTATTATTGTTGTGTCCGATGTTTGTCTGGTTGAGCATACAGTCATAGTCCTCATACACCTGATCAGATAACATAGGGGGTCAGTGAAGTATTCAAGGTGTACTGTGGGAAAATCATACTTGAAGTACAGCATGTTCCTTACCTCTCCTGATGATGACAGAGGGCAGTGCTCGTCCACCCTTCTCGTAGTTTTCACCTGTGGCCCTGCAGCCAGAAGAGCCTCTTTAGCTGAAGTGAAGGCATCTTTGGGCTTTGGTGTTTCCTCCTTTGCCTTCTTGCCACCTCTCTTAGCAGCAGTAGCAGCTTTTCTCTTTGGTGCCATGATCCTGATGTAAAATCCTGCACAAAGACTTGCCATGTTGTGAACTGGGCATGATGTCTGGACAAGTTCAGACATGCCTACACACACACAGGCCAGCTTCTCCTCTCAGGCTGTTTATCAACACGAATGAATGAATTCCCCAAACATTTATTTACTAAGTAATTACGAGTTAGCAACAACCATAACTATTAGCAAGTCATCATTATGAAAAAAGTAGTTTTCTTGTGTTTTGGGACGTGGCTCGAGAGCCTCCACCCTCCCTTTTTAACTCGGTAAACAAGCTGAATTCCCCTGACTTACCTTTTTACTGTACGTAGTGTTTGTCGGCTGGGAAAGAGGAAGGCAGGCGGGCACACATGCAGACACTTCGCTGAAGAAGAAGCTGTCACTGGGCTGAGTGAGGGCAGCTGATTTTCGGAAAGTTTACCTTCACTTTACAGTCAGAGGAAGAGGAAGAGGCGGAGCTCAACTGTATTCTATGTTTTCCCTTCTTGTAGCTGCTGGGGCGGAGTCCATGGATCTGCAGAGCTGACGGCTATACCGCCACCTAGCTCAGTCCGGTTACTAACACATTCAAACAATCCTTATGGATAATGTAACCGACGTCTCTATTTAAAAATATATAGCAAGTGTAGCATATTTGGTAGCTTATCTGAAAGGAATAGTAAACTAAGATGCCGAGTTAAAAAAAATAATTCTAACAGTTAGCTAACAGTGTCTCAGCTTTCAGTCTGTCTATTACAACAAAGCAGATTTAGGCTCAGGTTAACAGTTGATCCTTTAAATGTTTTTTATTTTATTACAAAAAACAAAGTTAAAAGCTTACTTTAAACAAGCAATTTATTTAACAATTGAGGTAGCAACTGAAAGTCAACTTCTCCTCATCTGTTCTTTGTGAACTTCAGAAGTGCTGGGGGGGGTCACATTTCTATCTTAGGGGTGTTATATGTGGTTAAGGAGTTACTTTTTTTATTATTTAAAGACCTTTATTGTCTTTTGGCATAAACTCTGCTTTTACAGTTAATCTCTGCTAAATTCACAAAAAGTCCAGAGTGTATGGTGTATGGGTACATATTTTATATTTTTATTTTATATGCTGCAAAAAGGATTACTTCAACGAAGTTTCGTTTATTATCATGCAATGACAATAAAGAAATATCTATTTATAATCAGAGTGACCCCACTTTGACCTTTCAAAACTCCCCAGTTGCCAATACACATTTTGCTAAAAATATTTGTTTTCAATCATGTAGCTTTTCTATTACAAGCAAACATTCATTTTAGACCACATTTAGGCTTTTTTGTCTAGGGGCTATGGCCCACAGTAGCATGTGTTTAATATATTTTAATATACAATATATATTTTTTAGTAATGAATCAATAAAAAATTCAGGCAACCACATTTTAATTCCATAAACGATCTGAAACCCAAGGTGAGAAAAGCCTGGCCTAAAAAATAGTTGCACTTCTGGGAAGCCTATCTCGTGTTGCTGTTCAGATAAAAGGTTTATTCGATAGAGAAAGAACCCAATAATGAGCAATTAATAATCCTTGTATGCATAATAGTCAATTGTATAATTGGAGTTCATAAGAGCATTGCATTTGTGTGTATGTGTTTGATCAGTGTGTAGTTTTGCTGATGAGGATCGATGGAGCCATGTGTTTTCAAAGATACCAGTATGCAATAAGGTGAAATAGAGCTTATAGGTCAGTAACAGTTCCTGAAGCAAATATCTTTCCAAAACTAAGCTTAATCTTGTGAGCTGTTTTTTTTCCATATTCACACAAGTTCACACTTTAGTTCTTACTATCACAGCAAGGAGATCTTGAACAATGATATGCTTAGTTTATATGATAATAATAATATAATGATGGTCACTGAGCAGCTCTACAAAGAAATGCAGTTCTCGTATATGTCCACATCCTCCAGATACACTATTTACTACAAGCCCAAGGGCCTAGATTGAACAATTTGGACACAAGATGGCAGTGTTAAATTACATATACTGTATGGCTCTGCTTATTCCTCAAATTCATACAGACTGTGTGTATACAGAGGACAGCTTTAGTGGATTTTATCCAATATCGACAGATGATGAAATTTGTGCTGATAATATTAATGTGGAGACTGTTTGGTCTTGGCAGATGGTGTAGATGAGGTTGATAAATATTAGACTTCTCAGATTTCCAACCAATTCCAAACTCAATTTGCTTTGACATCATTGCATAAATAAGGTGGTCAAGGAACCTGATGGCACACTTCTTCAGAGCAGAGTGTCAATTCAATGCAGGGTCAGTGGTTCAATTCCTGACTTTCCAACCAGCTTATAAGTGCCCTTGCCCAGGACATTTCTTTGTCCTGTGAGCTTGAAAGGCACTACTCGTATTCAGTCCATTTAGTGTATTACAGACATTTTGTGTGCAGCAGAATGGCTTACAGACAATGTGGTATTAAAACATGTTTGACAGATTTGGGTGGGCTGTGTACTCAGACTACAGTGTACTTGTGTCAGGGTTTACATTGTCAAGCCCATCTCATGTTGCTTATCATAGAGAACCCATTTGATTAAATTGTGTTCAAATAAATTGTCAGACTATAAGTCACCTTAGTATTAATAGAAAACACATTTTATTTACATAAATTACAAGAGAGCACATACTGGTTCACCAAAATCTACAATAAAAACGTCTTGTATATATTACATTTAACAGATTTACTACAGTTTACTCCATACTCCAAGTAGAATCTTCAATAAAAACAAGGGATATATCATAATTTTTCGCCATCTCATTTAAAATCGCCACGAGCAAAAGAACTAAATCAAATAATCGGGACATTGTAATCACAGCACTTTGAGGACAACAAAGTCAGGACGATCGTCTGTGTGACCTCTTTAATATCTGAGACACCTGATTCATGACTAGTGATTATATAACTCTGTTTACGATGCTTGGCAAAGAAACTCAGCTGATCTTCACAAGGAGGACGTTGTGGAGTCCACCACTTCTCGTCCGTTACACACAGTTGGAACGACATTGGACGCTGATGCTGCGAAAGAAAGCAGGGTTTTTTATTTGAACAATACAGATGCTACATTACAGGGCACGTGTCGTTTCATTTTGTTCAGGAAGCTAACAGCAGCCCAGAGAACTCGCTGATGAATAAGTAGTATGATAATTGAATGTATGTGTTAACATCATAATACCATACACAGGGGCAGTCTTTTTTCTATTTATTTGTATTCCTACTATGTGTTTAAAGGGAAAGAGAACTCTCAAGCATTTGAGTTTTACCTAATATAGAGATTAAGTAGTTTTTATTATTGATATAACGTCACATTTCAGTTGAGCGATGATCAGTCTTTTACTATTTTTGACCTTTATCTAAACTGTGTATTGCAGGACGTACCTTGAGAGAAGCTGGAGCCTGGGCCGGTGGTGACGCTGAAGCGGGTGGTGGCCACTCTGAGATTGCAGACATTCTTCTGAGGCTGGAACAGGATGATGTGGACCTTTGGAGCAAAGAGGCAGCCCAACACCACGGACCCACTCAGACTCACAGAGATGCACATGGTGGTGGTTTGCACCTGGAGGAGGAGTGAGAGGTGAGAAATTCACTCTACAAGACAAAATAAAACAGTTAACTCAGATGTAGTCTGTTTGTTTTAAGCTCATAGTCATGCACCTGCTTTATAGTTTTAGACATGAATCATGGTTGTTCAGTGGTATGAGTTTGAATAAACAAACAAAAAATATTAAAATAGTACAGAAAATATAAACTTGTAAGATGTAGAAAGCCTTCTGAATTACACACCACTTGTGTTCGAAATAAGCACAAAGTCATAATTTCACTCTTCAAGTGTCAAATCTTAAAAGCATCAGAATTGGTGTTAGTTGATTACCTTTTTGCTGTAAATCTAGGATACATTATATGAATCAGAATCAAAGCCAGGTGCAACAGAAGATGAAGGAGGAAGCTATCAGCTGAGACTGCTAAAAGGAGGTGTTAAGCGATGTGTTTATTTACTTGTCAATCAACTTTATAACCCCCACCCCCTCCCACTGCCCACATCTCAATTGTGTCTTCAGACTGCTGTTTTATTTCAAGTTTCCTCCTCTTGGATTTGTTTCCCTTGATAACAGGATGCAGCCCAGCACCGTGTGGTGTGTGGCAGGTGCATCCCATTTTTACAAGGAACAGTACTGTAGGTGTCTGTCAACAGGCTGAATGCTAATGTTGGCATTACAGAAATGTTGTCACTGTGCATACTCACTGTTCTGCAGCGAAGATAATAGACAGACAGTGATTACAATATTATGTTCATGTATTGGTATATATCAATGTATCATAAAACAGTGAAATAAGACTTTGTTGACTGTTGAATTGGTAGCCTTTGTGATTCTGAGTTACTAACATGATAGATCATGACAAACGCTGTCTGCTGTAATGTTGTACTCTGCTATAGTCTAGCAGTGTGCTTTGTTAAGTATTCAGAACACCTAAGGTAGAGTGACATTGTGACTTCAAGTGATGTACTTTTTATCAGCGCTTGTGGAATGTCTCCAACCAGAATACATTTCCATAACTATTGTAAAAACACATTAAAACTTGTTTTCATAGTTTAATAGTTTAAAAACAGACTATTTCTGACTGAGACTGTACCGGGTGGTAGATCATGTTTTCATGGCATCTCACTGGATTTTATTATCTACAATCAATGTTGTATGTAACATTCTAGTGCAGCCCTAAACAGTATGTTTGAGTCATCTTAGTCAGAATTGGAGGTGGAAGCAGAAGCTTATTTTATTCAGAGAATGGTGAGTTACAAAATGCAAAGCTGTCTTGGTTGTTAGCAGTTAGCATACAGAGTTAACTTTTGCTGAGATGCCCCTTTGTGTTTTCACTGTTATGTAGGCAATGCTAAATGATGGCTTTGTATTGTGAGCTAATGTTATATTATTACTGACCTTAACTCCATGGGCCGATACTTAACATTAAATAGATCATCAACCAAAAGTAGACGACTGTGGACGACACTCTGATCTCTGACTTTATGGATTTGCAGAATTTATGTCCTCTTACAGACCAAATTATTACCCAATATCAAGAAAGTTTACAGAAACTGTATTTAAATTTCCCATATTATGCCCTTTTGGGGGTTCCTACTTTTGTACGTTCACAATAGCTAAAGTTTGAAAAAAGTGTCTGTTTTCATGTACTGCTCCTCCTTGCTCCCTCTACGCTCTGAGTCTGTCAGCTACGCTCTGTTGAGCCCACACTGTTAGACCCCACATGGGCCAAGTCTGCTCTGATTGGTCTGCCGATCTGCTCTGTCGTTATTGGTCAGTTGCTCGGCACGCTTCTCGGAAATTGCAACATGAGCTGCAGGGCTTGCCACAACGAGCCAATGGACTTAGATCAGTGATCTCACACTGACAATGACGCCGCACTGACAAATTTAT